CACAGAAATTCCCCTGCCTATGCCTCCCAAGTGCTGGGATTAAAAGCATACAACAACAACACCCAGCTAAATGACACTTTTCTAGTTTGAGTATTTACCCTTCTAATGGCTTGAAACTGTGTTGAGAATCTGAATGTTAATTTGTTTAATCGTCGCAAAGATTTCAGAGCCCAGGACCTGTGCAATCGCCTCACAGCTCAGGCTATGTGTCAAGGATCCCATGCGCCATCACTGGCTGTCCCACTGCCTGAGGAGGAGGAGGTGGTTTGCTGGGGAAGTGGTACTGGATGAACCTCGAGCCTCACACTGCTCAGCAATCACTCCACCACTGAGCTACATCCAGCCTTTTTAAAAAATTTTATTTCGAGACTCTATAGCCTGGGCAAGCCTTGAACTTGTGGCCTTCCTGCCTTAGTCTCATGTATCTGGCATCACCAAACCTGGCTCTCTCCCAGCTTCTCAGCTGCCTACATCTTAGCTGTGAGCTGGCAACCATGACTGTGTCTAACCCAGGGTCTTCCTCAGAGGTGTCCTTCTACCTTCACTAAGCCACGTAATGCACTCAGAGCACTTCAGAAGCTCCCACCCACACTGGCCAAGGCTGTCGAGAAGAGAGCTCACTGCCCCTGTGTGTGACTCCAAACCCCACTTCCCCACGTCACCTGGCCCAGAGGAACAGCTAAGCCCTGAAGGTTGTGCCCACGGGCTTAGCAATGCTTTGTGCAAGGCAGCAGCTTGCATTCTCAGAACTTAAATATGTACAGGGTGTTTTATATTACATGTAGCACCAAAGAAGGGAGGGGGGACACACTCAGAACTGAGCTCTGAATTCCAGGAAACATCTAACCAAGAGAGGGAACAAAGTAACCCCTTCCAAACTTGAAGTGGATGAAAGTACAGTTGGATCCCATGATGGGGTTCTGTATCTAAAGAATGAAGCAGTTTCTGAACACAGCCTCAAACCCCAGGAACAAGTCTGTTGAACATTCGATAGATAACTCCAGTTTCAGAGCACACTGCTGACCTGCCCCTCTCACGGGCCTGTCCACATCTATAAGTGTAGACACTAAAGCAGATGACCGGAAGGGTCCAGAAGGAACAGGTCCAGGAGCCCTTCGAGGAGCTGCCTTCCCATCGCTGTGGGAGTCTTGGATTCTGCTCCCCAGTGGCTGCAAGCAGAGAAGGGAGGCCCTTGTGGTGCGCAGTCTCATCCCTCCAGAAGAGGCAACAGCCGAGCTGGTCTGGCTGCTTTGCGAAGGTCTTCGGCCCTCAGAGGAAGAGCTGTGAGAATGTGAGGAAGACCTACTCTATGCCTGCCGCTCTGAGATCTCCCACGCCGTCTCTACTAATCTCTCACAACTTCATAAGGGTGTGTTGTCCTGGGGAGCAGAGTGCTGTGCAACCTTCTCAAGAAGTGGATGGAAAGGATCATCCAGGCTGGGACACCCAAGGCAGAAGCAGGTGGGGCTGGACCACAGCCTGCGTGGAATATGCTTTGCAGAAGGGCAGGGCATCTGAGTGGGAACCCCAAAGCAAACGCTGTCTCAGGAACAGGAGCCCCAAGGCCCAACTGTCTCCACACTGCCCCATAATAACCCTGTGGCAACACCCTCGCTGGCCCAGAGATGTCTGGGTTCCCTGTGATCTAGGAAAGGAAGGCTTAGTCAATTAAAAATGAAGACAATTTTTCTCTCTTCCCTTCACACCTGTTTGAAAGGGTTTGGATTAAGCAAGCTACTCACCATATGAAAAACTGACTTTTCTAGATAGGTCATTGTGGGGGTGGTCAAAGCCTGGTGACTGAGAGGTAAGATCACTTTTAGGGGGCCAAAGTTTAAAGACTGTGTGGCCAGCCTGGAGGCTGTAATATTCTCGTCTGCTGAAGGAGCTGAGATGCAATTAAGTGACCTCAGTCAAAAGGGCAGTCTCCAGGCTGTTCAAAGGGAAACGCCATCCCTGGTAATGATGGCCTGTGTTTATGCCTGGCTTTCATCTGCCTTCACACTGCTTTAACCAGTAATTAGACCGTCCAACCTCTGAGGTAGGTCAAAATTACTGCACCCATTTTACAGGTGAATAAAGGACTTGTGTGGGGGCGGGCACTGTTACTGAGGCCACACGTACTTAAGAGCACAATAGCAAAGGGAGCAATCCCCACCCCCACCCCCCACCCCCTACCCCCACCCCCTATCCCCACCCCCAAACCCCCCACCCCCACTCCTGGCCCAGGTCAGGCCTCTCTGATCTGTCTGCTCCTCCCTGGAGAAGCAGGCTGAAGGTTCCTGTGTGATGCCACCTCTAAGTGCCCATGGAACTGAGCCTTTCTGGGGGAAGGAGGGGAGGAAAAGGAGGAGGAGAAGGGAGCAGGAGAAAGAGGGGAAGAAGAAAGGTGGAAGAAGAAAGTGGAGGGAGAAAGAGATGGTAAATGAAAGATGGACAGAGAAGGTAGAAAGGACGAGAAAGGAAAGGAGGGGAGAGAAGAGAAGGGGGGAAGAGACAGAGGAGAGCAGAGAGGAGGAGAGGAGGGAAAGCAGGAAGAGGAATGAAGACTACTGTTTTTCTGTCCCCAGTCCTAAGGGCTAACTCTATCCCCCTGTGCTCAGCCCACAAGCCTGGAGCCACCAGGGACTCCCTTCCAAGTTCCCTCACACCTCACATCCAAGCCATTCTTATCATTTCTGTTCCCAGAATCCCTCAGAATCTCACCGTCCTCATCACCGCCCACTGCTGGCCATCCTTCCTTCTGGGTGACCCCAAAGCCAAGGGTGAAGATGGAGGATGGGAGGAGGGGTGGTGGGGAAGACGGGGTGTGAAGAGGGAGCAGGAGAGAGAGAGTTCACAAAGGTTCTTGTCTGGAAAGGAGCCACAAGCCAAGCGGGACTCACGGAAAGACTGGAAAATAGATGGACAGCAGGATGCTTCTGAGACTCAATGTGGCAGACACCATAGGCCAAGGAAGACAACAGGGAAGGAAGTCTAATTAGAAGATGACTTTGGGGGCTCAGGTCAACCTCAGTTTATTAAGCTCCTACTACAGGCTTCTTGTGGAAGGTTAATTTAAGATGTGTTACATTCGTTTATGTATATTTGTTTAACATGCAAAGACGTGTTGCATTTGTTTGATTAAATAAAAATAAGCTGGGGTCAGGAGGCTGAGCCAGCAGCCAGGTGACAGGAAGTGGAAGGGAGGAACCATGTGTGTAGCCAGGGTTCCTAAGTGGGGGCTGAGCAGAAAGACGCTGGTTTTCTGGGGAGACCCGAGCTAGGAGAGGAGGTGAGCTACTTTCTATTCAACCTCTCAGCGAGCAGAATTTCACCTCAGCCTTTGAATCCTGAGTTCTATAGAGGGAGAGAGATGGAGATAAAGTTCCCTTCAGCAGCTGTGATAGAGCCCGTGCCTGAGGGACCAGAATTCCCGCCTGGCTACGGCCAGTGCGGCCAAACCGCTCACTACTGGGAGCTGCGGAGTTGCGACTTCCAATTAGGACAGCAGTCACTTACGGGGCAGCTACTGAATTTAACGGAAAACACCACAGGCTGGACCTTGAGTGGTGCACAGAGAAAAACATGGAAGCTGTGTCCTAGAAGAGCTAAGATACATAACAAATATTAAGGCTTTATAATGCCAGTCACCACATAGTGGATCAGCTGCACATGAAACGTATGTACATATACAGCCAGCGAATGAAACGTCCAGTTCCAGAAATTGGTTACGTCTAATCAAGTTGTTGGCCAAAGGGGCCCCATGGGAACACCCAAACAACCCAAGCCATTGCCAAGACTGTTGGTTGCTCTCCACAAATTAATGGTAAGGCCCTATTGCTGGAGATAACACCTACATAACTCATTGAACATGGAGAAGTCAAGCTGGTAGCTAGATAAAACCTTCACCCCTAGTGTTCATGGTACTGGAAGGTACCAGAGGAGAAAGGTAAACACCGATCCACCAACCTTCTTTCTACAAGGGTGACCTGTCTGCAAGATATGCTTGCACAGTGTTGGCACAGAAGTTGTGGAGTAACCAACCGCTGTTTGATACATTTAAGGACTACTCCACAAGATGGAACCCATGCCCAAAGAACCCGAGAGCAGATAGGCCATGGACCTACAGGAAAGCCAAATACTACCATTCTACTAAAGGAACTTACCAACCAAGTGACTCCTAATGACATTCTACTGGACCCGTAGATCTGTGCCTTGCTCAGCCATCATCAGAGAAGCTTCCTCCTGCAGCAGATGGGAGCAAAGAGAGAGCCATGCAGGACAATGTGCAGAGTGAGAGACCTGGGAACATTCAGCTCTAAATGTGATGTCTCCGTCAAAAACCTCCTCTCGGGGCTCAGGGAACCCTGAAGGAGAAGAGGTGGAAAGGTTGTAAGAGCCAGAGGGGACGGAGGACACCGAGGGAACAAGGCCTTCTAGCGACAACAGGACTTGCACACACGAGTCACAGAGGCCGGCAGCACACACGGGGCCTGCACAGGCCTCTGCCGGATGGGTCCCAGCACTGAGAGGGCAGTGGACACGAGCCCTCGTCTCTAGCCCAGAAGCTGTCTCCAGCTGAGAACCACTGGAACCGCTGGAACCACTCCAGTGAGGTCTCGCTCATACACAAACCATGTTCGAGGGCAGGCCCCAGGCCCGGCAGTCAGTTGGCCAACACAAAACAAACTCAATTGGTGTTTTTAGGTGTTTTTGTCGAATAATGCTTAGGCTGGGCTTATTTTCTTTTATTTAACCCTTACAGGTCTTTTGTTTTAATATAATGGTTTCCAGTTTTGCATTTTATGGGGTTTCTGTGTGTGCAAATGAATGTGCCTCTGCAGCTGTGTGTCTCTGTGTGTGCAAATGAGTGTGCCTCCGCACCTGTATGTCTCTTGTGTTTTTCTTTGACTCTTTTTCCGTTTGTTCTGTCCTAATCTGTTTTGTTTGATTTTATTTTATTCGGTTTCTTTATAATTATTTTTCAGATGCCTGTTTGTTTTCTTTTTTCTTTTCTTCAAGGAAAAAGGTGAGCACAGTCACCCACTACCACAAATTATGCAGTTGAATTTCCCAGATTTGGGGAAATCATAGGGGTCAGCACATCTGGAGTGCAATGGATAAGCTTCGCCCTGGGAGAACACCTTCATGATCATGGCGTCTCCCCTGCCAGGTAAGTATGCCTGTTTGTGTTCTAATGAGAGTGGGGAAGGAAGAACTCAGGTTTGGGTGGGTGGAGAGGTGGGGAGGATCTCAGAAGAGTTGGGGGAGGGGAACCACAATCAGACTATATTGTATGAAAAAAAATTATTTTCAATTTTAAAAATATGTGTACATGTATGTATACATATATATCCTTCTGCCCCGTTCTCCTTTACACCAAGACACACACACAGGCCCTCTTCATTCTTCAGCAAGTATAACCTGCTCTCGCTCGATAGCCTTGGAGCGCCACCTGGTGGCAATTAATTTCAGGCATTAAATTCTTATGGTGTCTGGGAGCTGCATTATCTGTACAAGAAGAAAACTGAAGTATTTCAGCAAATGTTGGCTGACAAATACATTGCCATGGACGTCATGACAGCAGACATATGCCCCCCAACCACCAATTCTATGGTAATGTCCCCTAAGGAGAGCAACTTACATGAAATAGATACAGAATTCAAAAGAACAATTATAAGCATGGTCAACGCGTTCACAGCATGTAAAGAGAGAAAAAACGTAAAAGCTTGAGTGTACTTAAAGAGGACCAGGACAAGTGACTGAAGTCCAAGAAAGCACAAGCAAATGGCTGAGGGAAATAACGAGGACAGCACAGGATATGAAAGCTGACTCGACACAGAAGAAACACTCGGGAAAACTCAAGCGGAAGCAAAGCCAAGGATGGAAAATCCAGGAAGCATGACCATGCCTTGAAGTCCACCAGCAGAACAGTCTTCTTTACACAGTCTTTAACTTGGCATGACTCTGAGAATGCGTGTCCGCTCGTCAGGGAGACTGCTCTGTGGTTTTATTCTCGCTGCTCCTGACTCGTCATCTGGTTTGGGTGTCCGGGTGATACTAGTTTCTTAAGAAGCTTTTGGAAGCCTCCCTTCCTTCCCTTAGTGGGATCATTTGATTAGCATTGGTGTTGGTTTCTGAGACTGGGAGAAGAATTCTGTCTGAATCTGTCTGGACTTCCTTTTCTTGGAACATTATTGCTGCTTCAATCTCATCCCTAGTTCTTGATCTTTTTAAATTATTTATTTCATTTTGTTTTAATTTTTGGTTATATGTGTCTAGAAATTTGTCCACATTTTTTAGATTTTCCAGTTTGGTGGATTAAAGGTTTTTATAGTGATCTGATAGAATATGGGTACTATTTCAATATTCCTATATTTGTTGAGGCTTACTTTGAGTACTAATATGTGGTGTGTTTTAGAGATGAGTCCGTGAGCTGCTGAGAATAATGTATATTCTTTTTTTTTTTTAGCACTTCCCCTTTTCTTTTTTTAAAAAGGAAGGTTTTAACTTTTACACATCTCCAAAGCCAGCTTGGTATATTTGGGAATTTGGGCGTAGCTTCTCTTACTACTTCCTGCTGGAGGGGGG